TAGTCTGGCCTCCTGCATAGCACAGGCCATAGGAATTTAGCTCTGGTCTTCTCACACCAGCTGCTGCTGGCCTTGGAGTAAAGTGGCACGAGCCCTTCCATGGAAAACTGATTTCAGCTCTTGTTCTCATGGCTTCATCTAATTGTGAAAATTCTCATCTCCGCTCTTCCCCAGCCAGAAACCATATCAAGTCAGGGGTCAGTGCATGGCGCTGTTAAATATAGTGTTTTTTCTTAGCATGTGAGCACTTTTTTAATCTTGGAAGGAAATGCAGGCAAGTGGCTAGTTTTCTGCTGTTTTTCTGGGGGGGTGACGAGCAGCAAGGGTCCTTGCTCTCTGCTTTAATGTCTCTAACTGGAGTCAGTTCTTGGTGCAGAATTGCTCCCTGGAAACGAGGACATTGGTATTTGGGCAGAGATCCCTGAAAGAAGGGATTGGGCTCCGTGCTATTTGTTGTCACCACTGTTCCAGGACTTCTGTTTCTGTGCTGCGCTGATTTCAGCTCCCACTGAAAGCTGGTCTCCAAGGCCCAGGCATCTGCTACAACTCAGCAAAGGGGTGACATTATAATACAAAATTTAAACAGCTAAAGAAATGGAAAGAAGCCACCTTGCCTACTTGCCTGGGCAGTGCTGCTTTGCTCAGCTGTGTCCTTCTCAATCTCTCTTTCTCTCTCTCTCTGGATATATATGTGTGTACCTATTCATTAATACACATAGATGGACTAAAGTTTCAAAGGAGATTAGTAACTTTGGGTGCCCAGTTGGAGACATCTTAAAGGACCTTCAGAAGATGGTTAAATATTCACTCTCCGAAAATAACCCATTAAAATATCTCCGGGGAGGTATCTAAAAATTGAGGCACTTGCTAGTCATCCTTGAAAATGTGGGCATATGCGTGTATTGATGTATTTATAATATATTCGTGTGAGAGCAGAGACCAGATTCTTTTCTATATTTAAAATCACCAGAGCATCTAAGGGCCTGAGCCTACAAACACACATATTTCTTCTTAATAACACACACAATCCTGTTGACTTCAGTGGGATAACTCTCAGCAGCAAGCACTGTGCTTGGGGAGCCAGTGAGTTATAGGTTTACAGCCCATTGTGCCTAATACAATAGTTAAGATTCACCTTGATTTGCCCATCCTGTGTCAAGTGGTCAAGAGACATTGTGAAGGGCTGTCACAATTTTTTTAAATATTATTTCTGGCTGTGGTTAATTTATCATTGGTTTGTTCTGATAAGTACTCAGGGACTCTAAGAAAAATTCTAAAAAATTCCCTAATTAATAGAATTGAACTTTACGCCAGTTGTGAACGTCTCCATCCCTTCTCATGCATTAACCTGCTAAACTGTCCTTTCTTCATCATGAACTAAGTCAGTGGACTGGGCTTCCTGTTGCAAGGATATTGAGTAAAATGGCAGCTGTTGCTGATTTATGTTAGGGCCAGTCATACTTGGAGATGCATTTAAAATAACTGGTATTTCCTAAATTGTATTTTAAATTGTGTTAAATATCTCTTCTCTTTTTAAAGTAAATGTCCATTTAGCCATCTCAGGCATTAAGGCATTCCATTTTTTCTTTATTTGTGGCTCGTTGCAAACCAGACCAGATAAATGATTTAATTCAGCTGTTGAACAATAGGGAATGAATTTCTCTAGGTTTAATTCTTTTTTGAAGCCATTGCACAAAAATGTTTTCTGATGTAAACAAATTCAGTTTATTGGCTGGCAAATGAAAGCAGAGGAGAGAGGCGTAGGGGTCACGGGACCTATGTTAACGGCAGCGGGGGTTTAAGAGCTGGACTGTCAGTGGCAGGAGACTGAGGGAAATAAGTGTGTGTAAGTGTGTACACGGCGGGAAGGGGATTTGCTTTAGAGAGTGAGTGTGTGTGTGTGTGTGTACACATGGAGGGAAAGAGAGTTTGTTTCTTGGCTGGAGGCAGAAGGCTAGGGTAGGGATTGTGGGGGATATCAGATTTATTGATATAGGAGGGCAGAAGGCCTTGAAGTGAAAAACAAAATGGAAGACCTCTTGGCTCTATGTAGGATTGCTGTGACTGGGGCGATTCCAGTATACCTCCTAAATAACAGCTCCTCTGTTTCCAAAATGAAAGGCCCATGGACAGAATTTCCTGTCTAACTGCAAGTACTGAACTCAGTTCCCAGAGGTTAGGGAGGCTCCAGGGCCTCAGCTCAGGTGAGGAGAGTAGCTTTGTTACCTCTTTCTTTTTAAGCTCTCGGGAGATTGTCCCCTTGCTCAGTGTTCAGTGCATGTTTTTAAACATGATCGTGAAAGGGGATGGAGCTGAGTGGGAAGGTTCTGGGCCCACACAGGGTCTATCTAATGGCAACTCCACAGAAACCATCTAAATGTTGAGGTCCTAGGCAGAATGCTGCCTTTACAGAAAAAAAGTTTTGCTTACGATGTAACGGGAGAAAAATCCATTTGAGAGACTGGCGCATGGAGGAGGTTCCAGAGTGACGCTGTCAGCCAGCAATGGGGCTGCATCAGAGGGCCAGAAATTCTTATTCCCTTTGTTGTAACTTTGAGCCATAAACGATAAATCAATCTGCTGACGTGGGCTGGGCCAGGTTATCAGGTGGACCAGGCAGAAGAGGGAGGGAACAACTGCAAGGTCAAGAAGCTAAGCTTCAGGTGTTAATAAACATCGCTTCACACCTCTTCAGCGCTCATTCAGTAATAACTGCGTCCCTGCTGTGCTTGTCAATACATCAGTCAAAGCCCTACACCCGCTGTGCTGCAGCGACAGCATGCAGGTGAGAAGGGCTCAGATGTGCCCCGCTGCTGACAGTCAGAAGCCCTTCCGAATACTGACTTAGCCCATATGCCACCAGCTGGGGGGTCTGTGGCTTGTTGGTAGAAATGGACAGCACCTTGCAAAAGTGAAGGTGAGGAGCTGCTGTTTAAAAATGGGTATAGGCCAGAGGAAAAAGGCATGTGACATTTCCACCTGCAGCCCTGTCTCTGGGCTCCCAGGCAGTAATGCTGGGAAGCCGCTAATCTCTCTCTCAGCAGGAAGTGTGGCTTGGGGCTGGTAGCCTGGCAGGAAATAGCTGGAAAACCAGGCTAGAGGGTGGGACTTGTATTAGCTGAAAAATAACCCTTTTTCTAACTGTAAAATATACTCAAGTGGGGGGATGGGTGCAACTCAGGTGTTCCTCCCACCCCCTTAATGTATTATCTGCTTTCTAGTCACATAAAGCCCTTCTTTGTCTAAACCGGAGGAGCCCCGGAGGTAGACTGTGCTCGTTGTTTCTAGCCAGGGAATTTGTCAGGTAATAGTCTCCTTCTTGCAAATGGAACCTTGTTGAAATGTGACTCGGTGGGCTCTAGAAGTCCTGTCTCTAAGAAGGTCTTCTGGGCAGAAGTTCAATGCACATGGAGCCTTGGCTCAAGGCCATTCTCCACATCCACTGTTGATGGACTGGGCGAGGGCAGCTTTGCCAAATTGTAGGCACGTTTGTCTGAGAGCTCTCGCTCTTGGCCGTACTTCCCAAGATCCAGGGCCTGGCTGGGCTTCAAAGCCTCCCTTCTTGGCGAGGTTCACTTCTCTCTCAGGTGCTGACAGTTTGTGAAACGTTGCTTTGAGGGGAAAGCCACGCTCAAGGCCGAAGAATGCAGAGTTCGATGCGGCTTTCCACTTGAAGTGGTGTCCAGGGCCAGCTGTTCCCTGCCATCCCAATGGAAATGATTTGCAGCTGAAGTTGATCTTTCCGGTCCTCAGAAGATGAGAGAGAGAGAGGTGGCATGGGGGGTAGATGTGTACGTTTCTTGGGTGTGAGGATGCTTCAGAGTAAACGTTTGTGGTGGGGTCAAAGCAGGTAGCCCATATGTTAAATGTCACAGAATATAAATCCATCGATGGTTTTTAGAATGCATGTTCAATGCCTTGGTTGGCCAGAATATCCCATCTCCACCTTCTGCCCCAGAGGTGGTTCCATTGCTGGATTTCTGTGTGTGTAGTTGTGATCCTCGGGGAAGAAAGTGTTTTTATAATAATAATCTTGTAAGATCCTCCACCAACAACGAGAGATCTTAGACATCTCCTGCCATGTAAGTGTTTATAATGCCTATTGGGCTGTACTGAGGTGGTTCGGTGGCAACTGATAGCACTGACCTTTCACAAGCATTCTTGTCCTTGATTGGGTCAAAATGAAGTGAGTTTGCTAGGCCTCAGTAGCCCCTCAAGGAAGCTGATCCCCATAGATTAGAGAAAGATCACGCTGAAATAGAATCCATCTCAAATGCGTGTGCTGTGCTCATTGGTCTGGTGACAGCATGCCTCAGATGCACCAGACCTATAGCACGCCTACTTGGGAAAGGGCCAGCAGCAGGCATCACAGTCAGGCCTGGCGTGTGTTGGCCGAGCTTTAGGGCTCGGTTAATTCATGGTTTCATGAGCGCGAACTTTACACAAACGAACAGTTAAAAGCTCTGGTATTGTGCTGCGTCCTGTCTGCCGAGCTGGGAGGGGCAGTTCCTCCTGGAAAACAAAGCACAGCACAGCAAAGAGGCCCCTACCATGTATATCTGCCTCGTCTCAGGGTCAGTAGGCTTCCTTCATTTGTGAGCTTACCTTTGCTCTGGTTCTTTCTCCAGCTGGACGGAGAGGGAGATATGGGCCATTTTTGGATCCCTCCCTCGGAAGAGCATATTAAAGACATTTCCTTTTTCTTTGTAAGAGCGGTGCTTAGCTGCCTTGCTTAAGGAAGCCCTGAATTAGCCTGTCCCATTTGGGAGAAGCACTTAGACCTGCCAGCATTTGAAATATATAAATCAGATCATTCAGGGAAGGGAAATACACACACCCCTTTGTAAGTGTATTGAAATGCCATGTGGTCTAAGAGCTTGAGGTAACGTGGTCCATGTGTCTCTAGATAAGGACTTACCTGCCTATGGTAAATCGGGATGACTGGCGCTAGGACGTAGAGAACGTGCAGTGATACCGAGTGTCTTTCCTGTTCTCTTCAGGAACCTGGCCCCGCTAAGGTGGCTGTGACCAGTAGCAACATTCCTAATGCAGAGAAGGTCCCCACTACCAAGTCCACACTCTGGCAAGAAGAAATGAGGGGCAAAGATCAACTGGATGGGAGCAGTAGCATCAGCCCAGCCCAGAGCCCCATACAGAGCCAGGCCATGCTTGCCAGCTCCTTGAAGGAACCTATGTTGGAAAGTAAAGAAGGTAAGGACCAGAGGGATGCTGGCACTGGTTTCTGTTCTCCTCTAGCCTCGTAGCATTCGATACCTGATTGTGGGGAGCTTTCTTCTTCACCCTGAGGTTGTGCTGTGTAGTGACTGGAGCAGGGTCTGGGAGATGAAACTCCTATGGTTTGATGCTCAGAAACTGCTGAGTACCTGCAACTTCAGGAGGTCCATGGGAGCAGTGAGCAATGTCACTTCCTGGGTCTGCCACAGCCCCAAGAGATTGTTGGTCAAATCACCCCAAAAGCTTCTGTGCGTTAACTTACCCCTCTGAAAGGTGGATCTAATTAATACCTTACCTACCTCACAGGGATGTTGTGAAGCCTACTGTTTAAGTGCTTTGATATCCTTTGATGGAAGGTGCTTTCAAAGTGCAAAATGCTATTATTAATGGCCGATTAACCCCAAGTTGTTACTAGGACTGGAAGGTTTTCCTGCAGCAGTTTGAGTTTATTACACAGATGTCTTAACTGCAGTGGTGTGGCTCTCTTAACGGGACCTCGTCAAAAAGTTTGGTCTAAACTTGCTTTTATTTAAAAACATGAATTGAAATGGTTTCTTGTCTTTGTGTATTATGGTTTGTTTGTTTTTTTTTTTTTTTACAAATGTAACAGTTCCCCTACTGGTTTGGAAACCCAACTACCTGTTAGTATCTAAGATCCCACAACTGCCGTAGAGAAACAGAAGGAAACTGCACTGTTGATGTTGAAAGTGATATTATTTACATTGAGGCAGTGCCTGGGTAGGCACAGTCATGGACTAGGGCTGATTTCATTGTCCTGAACTGAGTGAAGTGCAAAATAAGGAAGAAACTGACATAAGTAGTGAAAAGAAAACTAGAATCCGCCCCCCCATTTTTAATGTTTTAATCTAATGGGAATGGCTCAGCGCATTGTCAGCCTACAAAGATCTGAACACTTGCGGCATTCCCTAGGGTGGTACCTGGGGGGGGGAGGTGGGGGAGAGAAGGAGGAGATAACTGTAAATAATGGGATGAAATTAAGAAAGGGGGGAAATCTGGATAAAATACTGGAAGGCAGAGGCAAGGAGGATGGGATGACCTCACAGGTCTTTCCCACCTCTAACGGGTGCGATTCCAAGGCAAGGAAATTTCCTTTGAAATAAATGAGCTTTTGAACATTGATCGTCCCCCTTTATACTAGCCTCTGAGTGATTCCCAAACTTTTCACTATGACAGCCCACCAACTGCATTTTGTCTTAATTTGCAACCCACCCAGGGTCCTAATGCATGGGGAGCAGGGAGGCAAAATCAGAGGTCAGCTTCCCTGCCCCATGAATGGGGCACCGACCACCCACAGCAGCCCTCTCAGCCCAGTTCCATGGGACAGGAGCACTCACTGCAGGATGAGTGTGGGGTGGGCTTGCTATCCAACCCCTCCCCTTTCCCCCCCGCCCTCTCGGTGGTCTCCCCTCTGGACTGGGCCCATGACTTATCAAGAGCTTTCCAGTGGGTTGCAGCCTACCCTTTGGGATATAGTGCCCTAATGGAGACAGAGAGGCACTTGCCTACAGTTGGTCCTGTTTTATTGCCAGGCACTGGGGCGCTGCTTCCTCCTCCCAACCCTATATCAGGGCAGCTGTTTACATTTTGTCTCCTTTGATTAGTCCATGAAAGCCTCTGGAGTCTGCTGTATTGTTCTAAATGAAACAATAGAGGCCTGGACTTTCTTCCTGCTTTGTATTATGTGTTCCCCTTGGATAAATCGGGGGTGGAGGGGAAAGCTGAGTTTGTTGCATGTTCTGAGAGGCTAGCTAAAGCGATTGCTTTCCTCCTTGCTCTCTTGGGATTAGCTAATGGAAGAAGACTGCTCCCTTTGCGTCTCTCTGATTTAGCTGGTGTCAGCAAAGCCCTGTTTTTGATGAATCAATAGGCTTTTGCCCTTGACACCTTGGGATGTGGCGATTGGGCAAGAGGGAGAGAGAGAGAGAGAGTGTGTGTGTGACCGCCACAGATGCTGCTTTTCATTTACTTGTTTTTCGGTTGGAGAAAACAGTAACTTACCATCCAGCTTATGATCTTCAGAATGGATGGGAAAGTCGCTGCTGGATGTAGACCTCTCTGCTGCCTCTCCTTCTTCCCTGCACGTGTGTGTGTATCCATACACACCTACCAACCAACCAGCAAGTCAAGTCTGCCTGGAACAAACGATTTTCTCCACATTCCAAACTTACACATGGAGAATCTTCTAGAGGCCAACAATTCAGGAAGTGCAGTGGTGATTAGATGCAGACTGTTTTGGCCCTTGAAAACAAGTGCTCGTGCACAATTTTGTGGTGGTGTGAATGCAAAATGGGAATTGTTCTTTGTGCCCTCTGTAGCAAGAAGCTTCAGTGTGGAGGGATTCCCCTTTCCTTAATGCCTTTGTCTGTGCTGGCATGGAGGCTGGTGGTCACTAACTCACTCTGGCAAAAGGATGCATACAGCTCTTTTTCATCTCACTCAAATGGAGGGCCTGACACCCGAATTGCAATGAGGCCTTAATGCTCTCCTAGCTCCCCATTTTTTCTGGGGAGGAAGAAATGAAAAGCTGTTGATGGAGCCACGCTTCCTCCAGCTGTTAACACACCTTCCTCTCTCTTGTTCCCCTCTCCTGACCTTCTCCCTTTACTGGAATCAGACACCACCAAAGTTAATTTTACTTGTGATTAGGAAATGCATTGGTGTTTGCTGGCTGAACCTCTGAGCTTCCTTCTAATATATACAGGTACAACTTGTTGAGAAGCCTCCTCTGTATGTCTTAACAAAACACCCGCTCTTCCCTGTTCTTGTGTCCCTCCTCCAAGGCTCTGTGGAGACAGACTGGGTCAGATCATTGCGTGCTTGGACACAGAAATAAGGGGGGACTTTATTGGCCCTTCTGCAGTATGACTGCTCCTGACCAGATGCGACAAGCTGGCTGGGCACCTGATAGCATTCTGCTAGCTACATTCCCACCTGTTGCCGAAGTCTCTGTTGTCATTGTCCAGTTTTTCCCTCTGTAAATAAGTCAAAAGCACCCATCCCACCTTATGTCTATTGGAGCTTTGCATGTGGCACCTATAGTAGGCTGCTCAGTAATCCAAGTGTGAAATGCTGATGATTGGTGTGTCCTAGTCCACCTCCTAGCAGGTCAGTCTCCACATCACAAAAAACCTGTTCTTATCATCACCCTTTCTGGCAGTTCTGGGCACAGAAGCCAAAGATGCAATGGATCCTGAAACTGGACTTCCGGTTTCCCTCCAGAGGTGGGTCTTCCAGGTCAGGTTTGTGTCTGGGTCCATAGGCACTGTAATGCTGGAAAATCCTATGTGGATGTTTCCCGTTCTGTGGAGGCAAGGCAGTTTGTGTTAAAATCCCCTTTTATACAAATGGAGGGGAGGCAAAATCAAGTTTGGAACCAAGCGTAGTAACCTCCACCCAACTCCTTCCCCTTGTTTTCTGTTCCGTTTCTTAGATGAGAGCTCCATGAATGGCGACCGGATAGACTGTGGGCGGAAGGCACGTGTTGAGAGCGGTTACTTTTCCTTGGAGAAGACCAAGCAAGACTCGAAGTTGGAAGAGCAGCAGCTGCCACCTCCACCATCCCCTCCCAGCCCCAGCACCCCGAACAACAGGTACAGTTACCCCAAATCACCCTTCCAGGAGCACAGCCACCCCTTTCCTTCCCCAGGTACCAGCTCAAACAACCGAATGGTTTCCAGCTACTCACTGAACTCCCTGGATTCAAAGAGTACTTACCCTACGTGCAAGGACTTCAGCAGCAGAGACGGGGGAAGGGGAGCTGAAAGAAAGAACCACTCCCTTTCCTTCAAAGCCAGTCGGCAGTACGCCACCCTGGCCGATGTTCCCAAGGCCATTAGGATCAGTAACCGGGAGGCCTTCCAGGTGGAGAGGAAACGGCTGGAGCAGAGGACCCGGGCCCGCAGCCCTGGAAGGGAAGAGGTGGCCCGGCTCTTTGGCAACGAGAGAAGGTAAGGGGCCAGTGGCTGTTCTGTTTCTTAACTCATTTGACCATGACCACATGGTGGTGCTTGCTCTGTTAGTAAATCAGCGGGTGCTGGGACTGACGGCCCTTCATAGCCCATTGTAGAGGAAATGATTTATTTGGACGATTATAGTCCTGAGCCCTCCTCTCTTAAACCAGGTACTTAACTGGTGATCGTCTCTCCTCCTTTGAATCTATTAAATGGACTGGGAGGGAATCCTGATTGAGCCATGCCACTTTTTATGGATCCGATGGTGTGGGGTCATCCATGCTTAACAGCTCTCTCTTGTCGCCCATCCCCAGCCGAAGATATTTGAGCGAACTCCCAGCTGCCCAAAGTGGGGGGCATTGAGCCAGTGCAAAGCAATGCCTCAAATTTGTACCCAGGCCATCTTTCTGAGTCTCTGTTATTTTCCAGGCTCCCCTTTACTCTCAATTTCATATACAGGTCATTCCTGTAGCCACCGGGAAGCGCTCCTGATGTGGGCATAGCTAGGATATCCACTCAATGTTGACCAGCAAAGGATGTGATCCCCACCAGTGCTGTGTTAGCACAGGTTACCGATGGTTCTCGGCAGATCCTTCTCTTGGGGTAGTAGGCTGGACCTTCCTCCAGTAAGCTGCCATGTGATGCTCCGTAGTACCTCCCTTCTCCTCCTCCACCCTACCTCAAGTGGCAGCTGGCACCATTAATTAGAGTATTTCTATAAACTGTGTTGGGGCCATGTATGTTATGCAATCGTCTGATGAGCTCAGAGAGAGGTTTCAAAGTGTCACAGTGTTAATCTTGGAAAGAGAGGAGTTGGCTGCCACTGATACAGAACTGAGTGGGTGGCAAAACAGCTTAGTGGAGAAGGCTTTGCGTCCTGTGCACACGCTCAGTTTTTCTGGGTTTAAGGAGGCCCAGTGGGGAGGAAGGATAGATTTAACTTGCTCTGAAAAAGCCCCATTTATGTGATGACTGTAGAGTAAGCCATGAGATAAGGGCACTGGGCTAGAGGGCTGATTGTCAGTCTGATTTGCTTGCACTTGGGTTCCTGTAGGCATGTTCGCTCAAGCACTTGTGGTTTGCTTTTCACATCCCCTGGAGGACTGTTTTCACGCTGGCCCACAATTAATACAGGCATGAAGCTGCACTGCAAAGCACAGCCGCTGCTATTGCACAAGCAACACCGCTTTGCACTTGTGCGTGTTCCACTTCAGTTAGATTTGCAACTGAACCATATTTGTGTCTAACCTGTGCTCACCCAAGCAGTGTGTAGCTTCGCTGCCTGGCTGCAATCTTGGGTGGAGGACGAGACTCAAAGACAGCAATATCTTGGCTTTCTCCTCCCACCTGAGGATATAGTCCTTTCTGTGTCTGGCAGAAAAGATGCCGTGCTTGCCTTCTGGGGACCCCATCCTGTTACACTGGGTGGAGAAAGAACAGTATTTCTTGGTTTGTGAATTGAGTGTGTAACATGTCACCTGCTGGTGGCTGGCTTATAGCAGTGGCTCTCAACCTTTCCAGACTACTGTACCCCTTTAAGGAGTCTGATTTGTCTTGCGTACCCCCAAGTTTCACTTCACTTAAACTACTTGCTTACAAAATCAGACATAAAACACAAAAGTGTCACAGCACACTATTACTGCAAGACGTCTTACTTTCTCATTTTTACCATATAATTATAAAATACACTGATTGGAATATAAATACGATGCTTACATTTCAGTTATAATTTATTGAGCAGTATAAACAAGTCATTGTATGAAATTTTAGTTGGTACTGACTTCGTTAGTGCTTTTTGTGTAGCCTGTTGTAAAACTAGGCAAATAGCTAGATGATTTGGTGTACCCCCTGGAAGACCTCAGCGTACCCCCAGGGGTACATGTACCCCTGGTTGGCTTACAGAATATTAAAAGGTCTACCACTACTGCCAGCTTAATAGTTCAGGTACTAGAGGCTTGTGTGTTCTTCTGGAGCTGAAACTCCTGAGTCCTAGCCCCAGTGTGATGCTGCATAGCTGAAAGCAGTGATGTGTATGCAACTCCTGGATTCAATAGCTTTTTAGAGTGGTTACTTCTGAACAGCTAGTAGTGCCATTTGGGGCGCTGGTGTGCAAATGTGTGTTCAAACTGGGGCATAGGGAGAGGGCATGGAATATCTGATGAGGGAGACAGGCATACAGATACCTGGGAAAAGAAGGATCTCAGAGCTTCTGCTAGATATTGTCCTTTTTTATTTCATCCCTGCTGCTTTCTGATTGGTGGGATGGGTTCCTCCTCCTCCCAGAGGCTACTGCACCCAGCCCCTTTTTTTTTCCCCTGGGCTCCTGAGGCTATTATACAGCAGCAGGAGATTGGATTTTATTGCTGTGTCAACATTGGTGAAAACTCTATGTTATGTCTAATCAATTTATTGCCTTTATTTGAAGCGACTTTACTCTGCCTAGCGCGTGGGGGCAGATGAATGTCTCCTGTGCTCTTGCTTTTATTTATGTATTTTAAAAAAACATGCTTTAATAAACTCTCATCAGCACAATGACAGTGACAAGGGTGGGTGTCTTTTGTCTGATTTCTGAGGCTGCCGGGAAAAGATTTAAAATAAACAAGTCTTTTGCATTGTCGCTCATTGTAATTCAGGGGCAGGTGGGCTAATGTCCTGTCAAGCCAGCCTACATTTTGTCATTACGCAGATTGTGACAATAGCTCACTCAGAAGGGCTTTCTGTGATCAACCTTCCCCACACACTCCTCCCAATGTCCCTACAATTGTTTCCCTTTCCTCCCTGCCTCCTGCCTGCAGTCAGGGGGCTGGGAGAGGGGTTGAGGGTGGAATTGTCAGCACCAACAGAGAAGGGTTGTGTTTGAGCACAATGAGGCAGCAGCTTTCCCTCCTCCCCTCTCTCTTTTATTTAAAGAGACATTCTCCAGTGGTGTAGGCCCCAAATCTTGTGTGCTTAAAAAGTTTTACCTACCCTTCTATAAAGAGAAGCATCTTCATGATTTGAGAAGAGGTGGGTTTCTGAGAGGGGGAGGGGAAGGTGATGGCACACTCTGACAGGGCAGTGTGGGAATGATCTCTTTTCATCAGTGTGTGAAGTCAGCTATAAATAGAGTGAAACTGGCAAGTTTCTAGTTTCACAGTTGAGGGGGGGAAAGTAAAATAAATATAAACAAACACCATAAATGGTCATGGATGGGGAGTAGGTGTTTAAAATGCTCCAAGCTTTAATGATCTAAGATGATGATAGTGACAGATAATTATTCCAAAATATTCAACTTGACAGTTTCCTCCCACAAAGATGGCAGATAAATGCCTGTGAGAATTAAAGGCGTGTGTTTCCCAAACTAGTTGTTAGGATTAGTGATGATCTGTCCCCCAAAAGCAGGAGAGAAAGGGAGTTATTCCCTTCTCAACAGCACAGCCCTTTCTGGCCATGTCTGGGGCTGGGAACAGGGCCTCCTTCAGTCCTCCTTGGCCAGAAAGGTATTGTTTGGGAAGTGCATGGACACTGACAGGAGAGAAGAAAGGGGTTCCAAGAGGGTTATGCGGAGAAGTGGTAGTTGGGAGGAATACAAGTGTAATCCAGGGTTTTGAAAGAGAGTGCTGCTAGTTATAAATGACCTTCGTCTCAGCTGGAGGTGATCTGGGTGATGTGGGCGGGAGAGGTCACATTTTCCCTGAGCCAGGGAACTTCAGTGTTTCAAATGTTCAGGTGGACTTGGTGGAGAGAGCTGGTTTAACACTGGACTCAAAAATTAACATTTCCCGACTCTCTGCTTGGCTTGGCTGCTTTTTAATTTGATTTACTTAGTTTACACGTTTTTCTCTGCATTGAATCTGGGCCCTTTGAGATTGAGCATTTGTGAAACTTCACTTCTCAGACTGCAGGTGCCAGTTTTTCTTTAGTGCTTCAGAGCATTCTGAATGATCCTGTCCAGTAACTTTCTAACAGGTACTCCATCTCATTTTATGCTGGGAATTTACCTAGAATTATTCAACCCTCATGCAGACCCCAGTGAACTGCATCTCTTTGTCAAGCAGTGAAACCAAATAAATTTGCTAATCGTCTGTCAGTATTTTCAGCTTTTCCTCCCCTACTTCCACCAATGCACTCCAAAGCTATATCTACACTAGAGACCTTACAGCAGGACAGCTGCACTGCTTTAAGATCTCTCGTGTAGCCACTCTAAGCCAACGGCCCCATCAACATAATTAAACCACCTCCAAGGAGCAGCGGTAGCTTTGTCAGTATGTCACACCCCTCAACCACAAAAGTGTTGCCGACATAAATGGTAGTGTAGACATGGCCTAAATTATTGCATGAGGATTGAACCTCCAGACAGAAGAGCACTATACACTGATTTCCAGTAGCCCTAGTTAGGGCAGCCTCTTCTCTTAGTAGTCCTGTTTTAAAGACGCTTACTCCTTTTTTTTTTTTTTTTTTTTTAATTTTAAGAGATCCTATATTAGTAATATAATCATAGGGAATGTTCAGGACTGTGTTTTAAAAGAATCCTATTGATTGTTCAGACCTAAATTTTAACCTCTGATTCATAGGTGCTGGAACTAGGAGTTCTGGGGGGGCCGCTGCACCCCTTGGCTTGAAGTAGTTTCCATCATATACAAGTTTTACAGTTTGATTCAATGGCTCTCAGCACCCCAACTATACAAATTGTTCCAGTACCCCTGCTCTGACCCCTTTACAATTTTCTGTGGGGAGGGTCTGCCATATTCTAAATCTCTTCTTTATGAACATCTAAAGTGAACCCACCTTTTCTGAGAAACTTTCAACAACACTATTTTGGTGTGTCTCACATAGTCTGTGTTTGAGCTCCCCTTGCTGGTCTGCAGTGATAAATTTGGTGTTCAATGCTGTGTCTACATCTCTGCACAGTCCAGCTTGCATTGCCAGTAAACAAAGAGAGAAGAGGAAGTGAATTCAAAGCCCACAAGCTTGTTTCTTTAGCGCTGGAGTCATAGTAAAATGGAAATTATATGAAT